TTTCACCACGCAGCTTGATAATGTGAGCTCATGATTTACCACGTTTTTTTTTTTTTTTTCATGAAAGAACAACACAGCCTGTCCAGGAAGGAGTGCTATAAACCACCGCATGGCTTATAGTGACACACACATCTGAAGACCAGAGGCCTGGAGCTTTGACCTGAGGAGCCGGTATTGGATCCTGTCTTGGTTTTGTTTTGCATAAATCAACAAGAGCACTGGGCCCGCGAGAAAAACAGTCGCTAATGGTCATTATCATCTTCAGGTGTGAAATCAGTCAAGTGACAAGTGTGCCTATAAGTTTTGATGACCCTGGGTCAGCGTGAGGTCGGAGCTCTGTGTTTGCAGACGAGGTGACGGCACACGCCTCCAGCCCTTTGAAATGTGACGAGGTGAGAGGAATGAGGAGATAATCTCTGATTTACAACTTACAGTAGCTTTTCAGGGGAAGCAGCCCGGCAAAGAGCTCTGCTGCCTGACCGCTGGCAATACACAAAGTCAATGTGGCCGTTTTAAGTCGCAAGCAAGATGAGCACTGATGAATGCACGAATCAAACCCTGTTCATTTAAACAGTAACACGTGAATACATTTATTCAGAGGAAAACACAAGCTTGTTGCCTGATAATATAAAAAGTACTTTGACCTTAAGCTAGCTGAACATATAGATATCTTATATTGACAGCACAAAAACTTCAATGTGTATTATATATATGTTATCTAACCAGACAAGTTCTTTCTTCTTGTTTACAGCAGCGGTCTGAGGGAGCAGGGCCAAGGAGATGGAAGGAAGCTGACAAGTCCAAACAACCACTGAAGGCCCCGCAGCAATGATCATGGGACACTTCATTGGTGCACTGGTAGGTTTGCTGCCTTGCTCAGAGAAGCCTTGATTGCAGTTGAAATAGGGGCTTCTCATTCATTCACTTCTACAATCTTCATAACTCATCTGGGGATTTTAATTTTGCGGCCATAAACTCTCTAACCATTAACTGCAGTTCACATGACTTTAGTCTGTTCAAAGAAGGATTAACAACAGACGAGCATAAACACGCCACTGTCAGCATTCACCTGAAAACTCCCAGAAATTTCATTTCACCCAGAAGTAGAGCTGTTTCTGATAACAGCTCAGTTGCTTTAACACCGTACTAACTGTTATTTCTTGATTCAAATAATATTATAGTAATATTTTTGCCTGACACAACAGTAGGATTTTTGATAAGTGCTGTATATTGTAGTGGCACATGCACACTCAACATATCAGAAACTTCTTTCTGATATTTATTTGCAGGTCCTTTTCACAATTACCATCTCAAAGCTTAGAAATCCTTATTTTTAAAAATAAAATCTATACTCCTTTGTGATCAGTTTAAAGGGGGTTAGCGGCAAGAATGACCCAATTTGACTTAATTGCAACTGTGTAATGTGGTTTAACAACACAAGCAGTTAACTATCCTGCTACATCTGAGTAACAACTGAGTTATGTAAAGAAATAAGACGGAGCTGATGTAAAACGCTCTATTTTGTCTTAACAGGATCTGAGTTGCAGCAAGAGTGACTCCTTCCTCTCTCTGCCTCTTCCCCTCCCCCATTTTGTGTAAAAACAAATCTCCTTTTCTGCTCCGAGCTTGAAACTATTGAGTCAACAAATGCCACTGCAGCTATAGGCAGGGGCTGGTGGGAAAGGGGTGGGGGTCTCCATTTAAGCCTGAACTGCAGCCAAAGGGAGATTATTTTCAGACCCACCCCTTAGTAAAGTAAAGAGTAATTAAATGGTAAAGTGAATGGGGGTGCCGTTAACAATTGAGCATTGTGGTTAAAGTTATGACCACTATTATGTTATGTCAACATAATACTAATTACATATATATATATATATATACAT